AGAGCTCATCATCGCTTCAGGTGGGTTATCATACACCCTAGGGAAGCATCCAGCAAAGCCTATATTCATGGGGGCCGCTCGGTGGCAAGTAGCAGCCCAGGCCCTGGGTCAAGCATTGCCTGCTAAGCTCTTCCTCATGTGCCATTCAGGCCCCTTCTGTTTGGGTTTCTTGTACCGGTTTTACACCCCTTGCCTCACATAAAAACAGATGGCCTTGGAGGGATGAGGAGGGTCATCTCCATCACTGTCTAAAGCCTAAGCTTCACCTCCTGCCATAAAAACGCTTCCTCACCTTCCCTCCTGCTCACCCCTCACATTCCCACTTTCAAGTTAATTGGAATAACACATCTGCAGCCAAACAACAGAAACCACTGCATCCCCTCCAGGCCCCCCTGCCCACTTCCCACCCCCCGGCTCTGCTTCATTGACTCCTCCAAACCCACCGCGCTTGGACGGGAGCACTTAACCTTCTGCAGAATATCTTTATGCTCCATTTTCCTTTCCATTAGGAAGGAGATGAAAGCAAGAAGGGGATGCTTTTGTACAGCTGCTGCCAGCAGATGTGCTCTCCCAAGTTTATGTGTGTTTTAAGCATAGACTTGAACACTTCTGTGTGTGAGGGGTTTTGGTGCAGGAGGGACATATGGATGAAGCTTAAGTGATGCTGTGTTTAAGCATGATGCAATGGTTTATATCCAAATTGGAGCGATTCATTCTTGAGCTACCCTCCAGCTTCCAAATGAAGACTGTGCTAACCAAACCTGCTGCACCTGTAGTATTTTGAGTGCCATTTTCCAATTTCTTTATAGGCATAACAGTCAAAATTCAGCCTGAGTCTACCAGGTCTTCTTCACCTGAGGAAAAGATCCATGATTGACTTAAGCTTTTTCATGGTACTCATTGCTTTTCTCACAGTTTGAAATTTATTTCTGTATTTTCCTAAGAAAAAATCCCTTTGCAGTAACAGTGGGGAAAATATATATACATTTATTAAATCCACTTTCTAAATGCATAATAATGAATGCATAAATAATAATAATAAGAGTAAAAAAAAAAAAAAAAAAAAACTAGAAGTGTCTATGTGAAGGGCAGAAGTTCGTGCTCAGGTGACTGATGAGTACCAGGAATTTGTCTGTCTATATTCCTTCAAGACCAGACTGCGTCCCAGTGACAGTCATTGCCAAAGCAAATCTTGTGAATATCCAAGTGCACAAAAAATGACTCTAATAAAAGCTTTCTGCATTGTGACCTCCCAGGAGGCTTTTCACCCACCACAGAGACATAGACACATCTGGGGTAGGCAGCAGCTAAGCATAATAGAGAGGGAAATGAAGACTTTTCTGCAGCTGAGCAGCCGGATGTATTTTAGGTAGAAAGATCCTGTTTGGAAGCCATTCAGTCCCGTGATTGCTCTTGCTTATATGCTGTGCTTTAAAGTGTGCCTGGTCATGACCTCTGTTTTCCATCTCAGGTCAGAGGAAGGAAAGTGGTGTTGGGACGGGACGGGACAAGCAGGGAGGATGGTGTTGGGGTTCCCAGGGGGTGAATGCAGGTTCTGAGTGCCCCCAGCTCAGCACCTGGCTCTGTGCTGACTTCTTGCATGACTCAAGGCAAATCACTTAATCTCATTTTCCCATCACAAATACTGATGGGGCAGGGAGGTGCTCAAGCCACGTCAGTGCATGGCGAGGAGGAGTGCACCAGGACAGGAGTGGCAGGACACACCACCAGTTCTTAGAATAGAGAGAAAAGAGAGCTTCAGTCCCAAAAACTGAACCCCAATCAGCTCAGGATGATGTTAATGGAGCTGTTGCATATCAAGGCAATCACTCGTCCTTCCTTAGTGCCATGAGGACCACATCAAAGCTGCCTGCATCTTTCTCCCTCTCCCTTCCTTTATTGCACCAGGGGCTCAGAGACGCTGGCTCTGGCTCACCAGTCTCATTATATTAGCTTGATAAACCACCCATTTACCTATAATTCAACAGACTGTAAAAACCCTTGCGGCTATTGCATAATAACGAAAATAAATAATAATACGCCTTAACAAGCATCAGTCGAAATAGCCAGGATCTGATGGACCCGGCGATAAACAGCAGATTTGCTTTCCCGGGAACGCAGACAAACTAATCAGATTTAGTTGGCAGCTACAAAAACACGGCCAATAGGAGGCTCAGTGCCGGCTCGCACAATCCCCCAGCCCTGCTCATGCAGAGAGGGGGACACAAAGAGAAGAAAGGGCATCCAAACGAGATGGTGTGTACGCATCCCTGTGCTGGATGCATTGCCCTGGCAGGCTGACAGCAGGCTGGCAGCTTTCCATCCCTTGGAAGGGGGCTCCTGGTCTGCGCAGCCCAGACAGCAGTTTAACCCGAGGGTCAGAGGGCAGTCAGGCGTTATCTACCGGCTGGGCGCATTTCCTCTGCATCTGTGGCTCCGATATTCCCGAAAAGACACTGACAGGAGGGCGAGAGCTAATGGGAGCTCCTCCGGTATTTAGAAATGTAAAGGCCCACATTCATTTTTAATGACATTGGGAACTCACTTTAAAAAAATAAAATAAAATAACAGCAACAAAAACAAAAGCAGTCAACAGCAATTTACATAGTGTGAGAGAAAGGAAAACACTTTTAGCTTTCCCTACCTGATTTCTGGGGACTCGCAGCTAGCTGCTGGACAAGGAGAGGATTGCTGTGTGCTTTAACTACAATGCAGTATTCAGTATAACATTCTGACAACGGGCTGGCTTGTACAGTCATGCTTCGGATATACCATATTACATTTTTATTGTACAGGACTAAAATAATTCCTACCTTCAGGTAAAAGCCATCATTAACTCCTTCCCTATTGCTCAGCACAGATGGTGTTTGACAGACCCTTACCAGCTTGCATGAGACATAGGGCTGGCTTTTGAGCTAAGCGCTTATTTGGTGCATCCCTGAGATGCTTTAAAGCCACTTCTGGTTTCCAGCTGTCTTGGAGGTGCCAATGCTGACCAAACTGGAGCAGCTCTAAATCTGACTGCATTGACGTTGTCTGCAAAACCAACGGGGGCTTCTGCAACACCCCATGGTCAGGCAGGCAGATGGGGGCCCTGATTACCTCCCATCTGCTAGAAACCAAGGAGGAGAGAGCAGAAATGCCACTATGGGGCTCATTCGCTACAAGCAACTCTCTGCTGGTGGGTGAAGCCCCCAGGTGATCATCCTCCTCACCTGCATAGCTTCTCTACATCAAAAACGGCTACTGAGACACAATCATTGCTGCAAAACACAGGGCCAAGGTCTGCCATAAGGCAAAAGTAAAGCCAGGTTCAATTACCCTTGCACAGTTGAGCTTCTTTTATTGATTATGCTACAGCATTAATTCTGGGGTAATGCAGCCATGGATGGAGCCAGGATGACTGTCTCCAGCATAGGGCACTCCAACGTTTTTAGGTACTCTGCATTTTATTTTTTTTTCTTTTACTACATTTTGTTTATAATGATGAAATCTAACCATTCAGAATCCAAACACTAACTGGTTGGGCACTATTAACAGGCCAAAGAGGTTTTCGCATGCGCTAAGGTAATACAGACCTCACCAAAAAATAGTAACTAGAGGACACCTCCTAAAGACTTTTTGCCAGTTCTTATGAGTTACATTGGTATTTACTGACTCCTTCCTACCCATATCACAAAACCATCCCTATGATTAACATCTTCACTAGCATCCTCTGTGGAAGGGTTGCCAATACCAACAAAACCTCTGCATTTTAAAGGTGACAGAGATTGATGAAGTCATTTTCCCATGCCCCATGTCATTTCCCTCCCCAGCTACAAGGCAGGTCCTTAGGAGAATATCCTTGTGGGTTTTTGTCTAGACTATCCTCTAATTGACTTGAACGACAGGACTTCCGACATTTCTCCAGGGAGATCATCCCATAGCCTGACAGACCTTGCTGCCAGGAAACATTTCCTGATGTTCCCCCTACAGTGTCCTTGCCCACTGTCATCCCAAAGCTACACTCAGATAATGTCTTCTACCAAGAGAGATGTATATCCCAGGCTTCCCACCGATAACTTTGCACAGAGACAACGCTTTCACCAGTCCTGTTAACTTCCAACTGACAAGTGGTCAACTTTTCTTCTTTCAAAACCTTAGATGAATATAATTATTTTCATTTAACTTCCCTGCCTGCACATTAACTCGATTAGTTTACTGAGCTTACTAGTAAGCTTACAGCTTATGGGAAACCATTAAAACCAATGAGTCATGTATTTTTTAATTTATTAAAGGGACAAAAAATACTTGCGTTTTATCTCTAATAAAATCAAAATTCAGCATCTAGAAAAATGGCTTTTCCAAATTTTATTTTTTCCAAAAGAAATCATTTTAGAATCATTTACTGTCAGAGTAATCTCATAGTGAACAACAAGTTAATAAGGTAGTAATAGATATATTAATAATGAGTAAATCAATTGTTATGGGCTGTTCAATAGTGTATTATTAGTCAGGTTTATTCATCTACACCACTAGAATTGATGTGCTTTTAATAATCTATAACAAGTTATTTATGACTTGAGTATTCTTCTCTATTAATAATTTACTAATGCTTTATAAACTATTTATAATTGTGTTCTTTATATTAAAAATATGATCTTTGATCTAAAAGTGAATGATAACTTGGGACAGTCCCTACTGGACTAAGCTGATGATGCAGAGGAAACTACAATGGAGCTGCTGAAGCACCATCTGTGCAATCCACAGTTCCCAGCATTTGCTTCGACCGATTTTGCGGCTCTTCAGAAACCTGATAGGCAACATTAATTGATTTTTAATTTTGCACAACTCAGTAGCAAAAGGTTCTTAGAGAACAACGAATACTCCCATTCAGTGTTTGAAAATCTTTTTTTCATCTCTATATTTGAGAACACATTAGGAACACAGGCTAAGACAGGATCACCTAGCATATTGTTATAGAATTAGTATGACAGAATTGTTACTTCTCTTCATCTTACCAGTCTCATCCAGGCACAGAGACATCCCTGCTTTGAGTACAAGTCATGATGAAAATGACCGGAGAGATGCCAAGAAGAAAAGAAGTAATATTTCATCAACAGTGTAGGGTCCTCTGGCTTCATTGAACTGAAGTTGCCACAGCCGTACTCTTCCCAAGATCCACCAAACCCTGAAAAAGGGAAAGTTACAGTACTGAACAATTTAATCCATTAAGTGCCACAGGGAGGGGAAGAATCTAGCAATTTATTTTTTTTTTAACCTGAGGAGTGGTGGGAATACATTAGTAGAGGAGATTTTACTAAAAACAAAAATAATGGTATCGGTGTTGAAAGGTAAAAACCTGTGCAAGTATTTCATTTAGTTCTGGTACCTGTATTTAAGGACAAAGTTACTCTTACAAGTATAAAGAAGGGTACCAATACATTACAGGAATGCAATGGCTCACTTATGAAGAGATTAAGGGAGTTTGTCCTGTTTCACCAGCTAAAGATTAAAAGAGGTTATGATGACTCTTCTTAAAGGTATTCAGGAGGGTGGGGCCAGGGGAACGGTGAAGAAAGAGATTATTTATGTTAAAGGACATTCTGGGTTCAGTTTTGGCCTTTCGTTGAGGTATTGCCATCAGCCATTGCTAGGAACAAGATGCAGAAAGATGCACTGACATATTTACAGATCCACACATCCCAAGTTTAGATGGAGGCTGGAACTGATGGATGAACGCTTGGGAGCAGAATAAAGTTTGTTGAATATACCTAGATAACATAAACATGCTTTATTTCTTTAGATAACTCAATAGTACAATATATGAGTGATGGTGCAAAATAGAAAATGGAAAGAAAATTCTTCTGGGTATTTGTACTACCTAGATTTGATTTCGAACTCAATCCCCATATGCTTGCGAGATGGTCTGTCTTAGTTTGTGTCTGAATGACCTTTGAAGGCTTGAATATCCTGGACCTTTCTGAATCAAGTTTGGGGCTTCTATTCTCCCTCTCTGGAGGAAAAATAACTTCAGAAAGAGCTGGAACAGAAGAAGGATTTGTTATGGCTTATAGATTGGGTGATTTATCCAGTTCGGAAACTGTGATAAAAACCACTACCTCCTCTTCCCCCAGAATAAAGCTGAATGGTGTAGAAAATTAGTCAACTTTTTTCAATAAAGTTTTTTTCTTAATTACTATTATTGCCAGCTCAGCCCCATCATTCAACTATGCATAGGAGATTAACTTTATTTTTCCCTGCAAAGTACTTTCTAACAATACTTATTAAATTTGCTGGAGGAGTGGCCCAAGTAACTGGAGTGTTCTCCTGTTCTGTCCTCCCACGCACAACTCAATCTTCCTCCACGCTCGCGCAGGAACAGCATCCTCCTCTTTCATGCATCTGTGCTATAAGTGGAAAGAGGATTTGGCTTAAAGGGACACTGACAACTGGTTTTAAATCTCTAGTTAATTTGTTGTGAAAGTCATTTTTTAACATAATTTGGGTGTTTCTTTCAAGTGATGAGAGAGCAAGGGATCTGTTAAATGAAGGAGAATTAATTATTCCCAGCCATTACTGAAAATACAAACACAACCAGGTTGTGATAGAGCAAATGAAATTGATTTTAAACAAAAGTGAACCTGACCACTCGCATTTCATCGTTCCCTTTGTGGCGCTGACGACAGCCCTTCTCCGAGGCGGGCTGCTTTCTCCAGGCTTCACTTCTTGTTCGACAGAATTAAGTATTAATCTGGCCACTCTTAGAGAGAGCTGCAAGATAACCCTATTTGCTCAGACCGTCTCAACTGATTAAGTCTTGTTTCCCAACTGATTGGGAAGATGTATGAGGGTGACAAGCGTTTGTCTTACGGAGATCTTCATGTCTGAAGTCAGTAAATTTTCAGTTCTCTCTTACCCACCCCTGTTTCTCCCTGTAAGTGACAGCAACACCAAATCTATGACTTAGAAGCTGAAGAGGAGGTTCCAGTGTTGCTCTTCCAAAAATTGTTTCTGGCTCCTTCCTCTTTCTGTTGCTTGACAACATTCCTTTCCTGCTAAAAGGTGTTAGGATGCAAGCTCTGTTGTGTTTGTTTGTTTGTTTTTAATGAAAAACATACTGTTAGATAAGCTTGCATTGAAAAAATAAATAAACAACAACAACAAAGCAGTAAAGACAGGGTAGGGGGTTGCTAAATGCTGATAAGAGCTGAGATATATTAACCAGCTATAAACGTGCTGCTCTACTCTCTGGCTTTGAAATCCCAGCTAAAAGGCTTCAAACCCTTTCTCTTATGGCCTATAATGTACACAGAGCAGAGCAGAGGAACGCAATTAACTCTTCCCTGCCTCTACAGCTGCATTAAAAAGGATTTCCCAAGATGGATTTAGAGTTGCACTATTAACAGAAACCTCTCCTGGTGTGTTTCCAGCTCCAGAGTGTCTTCAGATGACACCAAGACAACGTCCTTGCTCTTGGAGATCAGCTGAGGGCCATGGCCAACGCTGCAAGATGATGAGCTGGGAAGCAGTAGGGCATGAGCCAGCAGTGGAGTGGGACACACAGGGTACAAGCCCCTGGCTCGTTGGCCCTAGCAGCACATTAACCATCTCTCCCCAGCTTCCTCCTGCCTAAAAAATAATTAGGAGAAAAGACAGAGCGGTCAAGAAAGATTATCCACAGCCACTGAAATAGCAGTGGAGCAATTTAGAAGAACTCTGGGGATGGTCTAATTAGGCCATTGCACATTAGCTCATGGCACACTGCTGGCATAACACCAAATTTGATGGCCATTGCATCAAAACATCTTAAAGCCATCTTGGAGCCTACCCTCCGGGCAGCATCAAGACCAGGCTTACCCCACAGACAGAAAGGGCAGCAAGGCTGCCCACGTAGGACACTACTCACAAGCAGAAACAATCAGCTTTGATGGAGTATTTCACGAAAAGGTTTCCATCAGGCGCCAGCAGCTTTTTAAATATTAACCAGCAAGATCTGCTGGCTGCCACTCTGGGATTACTGTCTCTGACACTGGTGATCCCAGCGTGTCAGCATAATTTAGCAGCCAAATCCTGGCTCCTAGCAAGTGGCTTGCAGATGTGGATTTTAATTAAAAATATTTAATTTTCAGCTCCAAGTTCCATTTGCTCTACCTGGCAGTATGGTCGCTGGTGCTCATCATGCAAACCGCCGCAATGCTACTCTGAGGAAACCTCAAACAGCTTCCTCCGCCTGTGGCAGCTCCACCAAACGGCCCCACAGAGCCCCGTTCTGCATTCAGCCACAACAACTGAAACAGAGTTAAAAATAAATCATCTGTGGCTCAGAACCTACCTGATATCAGAGCAATTCACTCGGAGATTGAAAATATGGAAAGTGCACCTTTCTAGCTCCACCAAGATGCATCCCTTGAGAGTCTGTTTATCGTTTTTCACCCACAGGAGACTGACGACTCTAGGTGTTGCTCAAATCTGGGGGAAAAAAAAAAAAAAAAAAAAGCCAAGTTTAAATTGGCACCTCAGGGCTGTAAGCACGCACTGTTTGAAAGCTAGCTCCCAAGCCCAGCTGATACTGCACTCCTTTTGGTTGGGATGAGAAGTTGTACTCCCAGAGCTCCTCCAGCCTCATGGGCTGGGATTTCACGTGGTCCAGTGGGACCTTACACAGCTCTTTCAGTGTGTTGTTTTCCTTCCTAAAAAGAGAAGACAGCTCTCTAATGAAATCTTGCCATTTCACTTTTTACTCACCACCATTTAAATTACCTTTTTTCAGTATTTTTATCATGAGTAGCTTTATATAATAATTTTTCACTGATAGGTTTCTACATCTGCAGACATCTACTTAGTGAATCCCTAATTAAGCATGGCTGGAAATGTGTTTAGTGCAGGTCCTGTTTATAAACAAGGTTCTGCCTTTGTCTTCTGATTGCAGACTGCAAGCAGCATACAGAGCTTTTGTCCAAGTACAGACACTTCTTTTGAATACGGCAGAGAATGTGAGTATTATGGAAGTTGTGTATTTACGTTGATAAATATCTGAAAAAATATGTTGAGATTATCATTTAGGGCCCATATTTTTAGGGAGTAAGTAGGAAGAACATTTTCCTTATGTGAGAGAAGGGAGTAGACATGAAGAAAAGAACCCAGGAACAAACAGAATTCACTATACTAATATCCAGACCATTCAATATTCAGATGTTGATAATTATTATGAATATATGCAAATTTTAATTATTGAAACTACTTCAAAATGTCAGTTGTGTTTTTATATATATATATATATATTTATTATTATTTTTAAATCCCATTTTATTTCCAGCAAGGACATTCATAACTCTTCATTGCTTTTGAGAAGAGAAGTAGTCCTAGATCCTCTAGCAAACTACTGTTAAAGGGCATGCACAATTCAGTGCCAGAGAGAACCTATCCACACAGAAAGACTTTGTAAACTATTTGGGGGAAGGACAGTACATGGTTGTATAGTACCTGATGCAATGGAGGCATGACATATGACCCTTATCACAAACGGAAAAATAAACATCAAGAAGACAGATTGAAGAACACATCAGAAACAGTAAAAATAATGTTAGAAATAATCATTGCTAACATTTAGCCTAGAGTGCTTTTTGCTTTGTTATTTTATATTGACAATCCCACCTAGAAATGGGTCTCAGACTTTTTGACTTGTTGACAACCCATTTTGCTCTGCAGACCCCAGTGTATCCATTGTCACCCACGGGAGGGCCCCAGGCCCTCTGCTACACCGCGTCTTTGGGGATGGATCAAATGGCTCCTAGACGAGAACAGAACCAGACATTTTCCAACCAAATACATCTCAGGTCACTGAGCAATGGTCTGGTGGCTCTGCCTCTCCTGCAAATGCCCAATCTAAGGCATTTCAATAAATAGCTTTGCCTGAGGAACCTTCCTCCTCCAGGGTTTCCATGCTGCTGGCAGGAGGAAATGCATGCCCCTGCCTCAGCCAGTACCACACATGGTCCAGCAAGCTGACCGAAGTCACTGACAGGGACTGGATGTGGTGGTGATGTCCCTAACTTCAAATTAGGGTGCTGGAGATGTGCACATAGGCTGTGCTCCACCAGCACTGCTAGTGAGGAAGGTGGTGATGGCAGAGGCCTAGCTAGCTGAGGGAGAGGAGGGATAGAAACCCCTCCTAATTGCCATGGCTCCACGTTCTCTGCTGCAAAGACAGTCAGGTACTGCCACAGGTGATTGCCACAGCAAGAACATTTGGGGAATCTCTCAAGATCACCTGGTGCATGATGGCATAGGGTCCAGAGCACATCTGCATCATCACGCCCTGCCTTGCTCTCACATGGAAGTATAGGGAAATCTCATGTATTTGTTCACACTCCATGAAGATAAGCTGTGTTAGCTGTACAGGGGGACAAATCTCTTCTGCAACTAAATCAACATGAACACATGTTGAGGAGCTCCTAGATCTCCTCAGGAAAGAACAGCCAGGTTTTACAGGGCTCTAAACCCTCACCTCAGGCCACTTCATCTGACATACTGGACAGTGGAAATTATGCCATGCTCAAGGTCTACACTACAGGATCCCAAATAGAAGCTCTAAGAACCACTGATGAGTTTTCTTTATGTGTGTCCTGAAAAATCCACCAACAGTGGCTGATGGATTGGAATTGGTTATAGCATTGCCTTTCCCCTTCATAGCCCCACCACAGTTATTGATTTCAGCATCTCTTCTTCCTCCCTGTCCATGGCATGAGTAGCAGACAACCTAAACAGAAAGCTCGGAAAAAGGGCAGCTCCAAATCTTTGTCCAAAGCCAGGCAGTTTCTTCTTCCCAGTCAGAAATGGCACAACTTTAATATGGTAATGATGTTCCACATTAACTTATTCTTCAAACAAGGACCAGTTTGTTGTCAGACAGAAATGGAAAAGGGTCAACCTTTTCTGCCCCTTCTACTTACAACAATTCCTCCTTTCAGGGGGGGAACAGCTTGAAAGCTCCAGTTATCTAAGTCTGTTTTCCACAAAGAGTGACACCTCCAAAACCAGACTCCTCCTCTCCCTTTTTTAGGCTATGAACAAGTCCTTGGTGTTTTGGCCAGGCCACTTCTCCAATGCAGCTTCTGTCATTAGGAGGGAAAAAAGAAAAGGGGGAAAAAATAATTTAAAAAGTAATTTAAAGAAAAAGCACTGCCTTTTTGGAAAGTTCCACAAATATTTTATGCCCCCTTTCTTTTTTTCTTGCTTCCCCCCCCCTTCTTACATTCGCACAAGCAAAACAACAAGAGGGTCCTCTGATGAATGTGGCGGATCGCCATGGTTACGGTTCAGAGATGCAGCAAAAAGCAATTATGGTGGGACATAGTGGAGAAAAAAAAAAAAGAGAAATGCACCTCTTTGTCAGAATTTCAGAACAGCTGTAATAACACTTCTGCACCCCAACCAGCGCAAAGTAACTGAAATATTGTGGCATGTTAAATGCCAACACATTAAATACCGGGATTTCAATGTCACATTATTTAAAAAGACAGGAAGCATTAATTTCCAGCTGCACTTTCAGCTTGTTAAGTCATCTAGGGGGAATAGGGAAAAAGGAGCAAGTCCATGGCACAGGGGCTCACATTTTGAGGTGTGAAATAAAACACTGTTCAGCGAGGCAGTGGAATGCACTTGTAACAGATTTAATCTGACAGCTGCTGCGGTTTCCTATTTAAGGTTTTGTGTGATTTATTTTTCCCCTTGGTGTTGGAGCTCCTGAAAGAGACGGCGATGCTCTCCTGACCTTTCCCAGTCTGACGATCTCAAAGCACTTTACCCCCGCACGTTCATTCCCACAGCCTCCAATGGGTGAGGTAGGTGGGTCGTCACTGTTCTCACGCAGTAGGTGAGACTTGCTCAGGTCTGATCTTCCTAACCCAAGGGTCACAGACGGGATGTCTTTGACCTTGGTTTAGGCCTCTGCGAGGACTGAGAGAAGCAGGAAATTCTCATTTTACAAGTTGTTATTCTAAGATCATATTTAAAATAAAATCTGCATATTGCAGTCTGGGATTATCTGTGAAGTGCGTGTGTGCCCATAACACATTTATTCCTCCGTGGCTAGCAAAAAAAAAAAAAAAAATTGGTTCTACTCTTTCTTATTTGTATTTACTCTTGAGAATTTCTACAGATCTATTTTTAGTGACAAGAGAAGCATAAAGCATTTCCCTTCCTTCTCATACCTGTTGCATATTGCAGCCCCCAACTGTGTTCTTCTCTTCCAGGCTATGAATCAAACCAGGAAGGAGACCTTGCTGAATTTTAACCCAGGGAAAGAGGTGGGAGGTGTGAAATGATTGAAATGGATCTCTGATCCTGTTCACTAAGCAGTTCTGCAAAACGTAGTGCCAAAGGATGCAGAAACCCTGAAAGGTCCATGGCACACCTCGATCACAACAAAAAAGAAAGATGGGCAGAGCAACGCAAAGATGAGGAGACAAAACAGCCCAAATGGGATAAAGATTACCCACTTCAGAGATTCTTTACCTCTTTTCTGAGTGCTCCCCTCCAGTTATGTTCCCTGGCTCTTCACAGAGGAGACCATTCAAGATAACACACCTCAGCACCAACCTGGCTCCATCTGGTCACGAGAGTAAGCTCCTTCATCCATCCATCACTGACTCACTTGATAGACCAAGGGAAGGACTAGGTTCCCGAATCACAGCAGTGGCCCACTGTTTCTCTCTTCTTTTATCTTCTATTATGCCCAGCAAAAACAAAGCTCCAGAGTCCTTCCTCAAGCAAAAGAAATCTGAGAAAACTTGTATATGAAAAGATGATACTAATTTTAAAGGAAAAATGATATATTGCCAAGTTCTTGTGGTTATATATTTCAAGATTTTTTTTATGTTTTTTAAATATTTTTTTTTAGCACTGGTTTCTAAAAGCAAGAAACAGTACAAACATCTCAGCAAGAGAACAGTGGAGAAATCATGAAAAATAGAAGGAAGGGACTGCTGCAAGTTCAGCAGTGAGAAGGAGCCTAAAAAAAAAAGCCTCAAAGAGCTTTAATTTTTTTTGCTTTCTTAAAGCAATCCATGATTTAAACAAGCCTGTTGTGACTTCTGAGTACATGAGAGACAACATTTTAGATGAGGTACTTGAAAAGGACAGAATAGTGGGATTTTAGAAAAAAATGTCATAGTAACAAAGCTGTGTACTAGAACTGTGATCTAACATTGCAGGTTGTACCTTTATTGACAGAAGCAGCAGAAGTCTCAAGATCTAAACCAAGCTTCTCTGAAATGAAGTCTTATCCAAATCCAATAGATGGACGCACAGGGAAGTTGTGGTGTTGCAGAGTAGTCCCCTACTAGTACACCTTCAAGGTTTGTACTCTATCAACATTGGAAAAGTAAATTAGAAATTAAACAATAAAATTTACCTGCAGATTTACATTGTTATAGAAAAGATGAAAAGTCAGCCTCAGTTTCCCCCTAGGCAGCAGAATGAGGTTGGGTTAAAACACCTGAAAAAGTTTTCCTTTATGGCCGCATATCAAAAATTGAAAGATCAGCAAAATGTCATTCCCTAATGTTTTCCAATACCATTAAATTCTTGCCTGAAGCCACAGATTCTGATAAACTCCTAGAGGAAATATCAGCACCTCATATCCCAGGGAGGTGGTACTATTTCCTTTAACCTTTCTCTTAATATTTTATACCTTTGGAGATTCGGTTTCCACACCATTTCTCCCCTTTCTTCTGAGCAGTTCTCAATCGAAGGTACCTAGCCTGATGATCAGTGGGGCAGGCTGGATGACTTTCTCTCCCAGAAAGAGGCTTCACCGAAAACATGGTACTTTGGCAGCAAACACCAGAGTCCAAGTCAGCTGCCAAGGTATCAAGCAAAAAGGGTGGCACAGTAGGTAGAAGAAACTCTGCTCCTCAGTGAGGCTCCAGCTGGGTGAAAGCACAGGTTATTTGTAAAACAGGATAAATTACCAGAGAAAATGCTGAAGGTATAAACTGTTTTAAAGGTTTTAAAATCCACCCCTTCTCCTGACTCAAGACACCACTAAGAAGTAACTTAGGAATTTGTGGTTTTGAACATGGTTGTGCTTCAGCATAGACCCTGAACCAGCCATGCTGGGCTCCAAAGTGAAAGTACAATTAAACTGAATTAACTCCCAGTTGCATCAGGGTCCCAGCTAGGTGCTGACCTACCCCAAATCCCATGTAAATCAACAGGATCTGGAAGCACTCAGAGCCATTTCTGATCAAATGCTTGGTGTCCAAGTGTGTAACTCCCTAGAGAAGGGTCTGGAGATGGAAAGCAGATCAGAACAACCAAAAGTGCCACGAGCCTCTGCAGCCGCGGATACCATTGTCAAGGCATCCTTTGTGCTACAGGCACATGGCATTTATATGAGGGAGAGATAAAAGAAGGAATTTAAAACAAAGGTTTCATTGCAGATTTCTGGTTTCTCACTGCTTTATTATTTGCTCTTTGCACATGTCAGATAAGTAGACTTGCGAATAGCCTTAATTAGAAATGCAGATTACACAGGGCTAGAACACACTGGACACTGTTTCTCTCCATCAGTCCTGCTGGGAATACACACAGCCGATTTGCTAAGAAACAAAATGAAAGTCAAAGTTAGCTTCATTTTTAGGCTATACAGAGCATGCAGTTGCTGTGTCCAGTTCATAAATCCAGCAGCTGTGAATAATTCCTCATTCTTAAAAAACTCCATGGAAGAAAAGAACTGCTGCATTTCCAGCAGAAAGGCCTGCTAAGAGAGACATGCAGCTTCTGGTAGTTGTTTTATCTGCTGAAATAAGAAAAGCTCTGATACAATTGGTGATGAATTGCAACCAGAACACCAGTGTGCCATCTCAGAGTGGACAACAGGCTTGAAAACATGAATGCCTTAACAAAGAGGCTGTAGAAATGGCGTATCTAAAACCAATGGTTGCTTGGAATGACTGGCTGTGGATGCTGATTTGGGGGTATTTCTCTATTTGATAAATATTTATTAATTGTTGTATTCAAAGAAACATACCCTTAAAGGCAAAAACAAATAGCAAACAGCCAGCTTCAAATAAGCCATTAAGCATTTCAAACTGAATAGAATTGTATATGTGCATCCAAAAAGACTGCAAAGGTGGTTGTGAAAATCAAGCCCATTTTCAGAGGCTGATGTTTATACTGGAATCCTCCTCTTTGCTGGTAGTATTTTAGGGGTCCATAAGTGGAAAGGAAAGATCAGCAATCTGCTCAGAAGGATGATTCCAGCACTGACCTGAATGTCTACAGCTCGATCCCCAGACACTGGCTACTTGGATGAACTCACGATACCAGGTTTCATCTAATTTGCGCTTGGGTCTATATAATTTTGCAATCACAAATCAGAGAACTCTTAAATTTTTAGATATAGAGGACTAAATTTCAGACCTAAACCTAGTCAACAACAGTTTGGAAGCACTTCAACTTATACAACATCTGTAAGCAGACCTGGCAAGTTCAGAGAAGATAAGAAGGGCTTTAGTGAATTATTTTAGAAAAAGCAAAAGTACTAACTTTTCAAAGTAGAAAGGAGAGCTGCTCAAGAGAGCTCAGTGGGTCATAACACTCTTCATGCTCCAAAACACATCTCTTTCCATAAGGTTTGGAAGGAGATTTCTGGCTTTGACACTTTCCTCATTTATTTACTTACTACATTTTTGTCCAGGAAAGTCTGTTGAGAGGATGCATATGCTAGAAACGGGCATGAAAAGGAAACGGAGCAGGAGAAGAGAATGCAATGAGCACTGTAGATGCACAGACATGTTATTGAAATTCTGACCTTTCTGACAGCTCCTGGCTTCCCGTCGGCATTGTGTCAGGACCATGACTATCACGTTTCAGGCTGTGCATTGCCTGCAGCAGACTGTAGCAATTTCTTTATAATCACTGGATTTTTTTTTTATTTATTTATTTATTACATTGCATCATGATGACACCTTGACAGTGATTTTTCAGGGAATTGCAGGAAGAGAATGAAAACTTAAACTGGGTGAACTGGGATCACCTCAGTTTGGGTTAAGTGCAACCGGGTTTATTTGCAACAGCTATGGTTAAGTCCAAAATCCACTAACTATTGAACTGTTCCTCTCTGCTAATGCAAAAATTAAAGGGTTAAACTATGCTTCCCTTTAAGTCAATGATAAAACTCTCTTTGGCAGCAGTGGGAGTAAAATGCCATTAAACATTTCTAATAGGGCTTCTAAGAAAAGGTTTGGGTGGGAAGGATAATTGTTAAGATTTTTTTTTCTGTGATAACTTTGGTTCCCTTATTATCAGAACTATTGCCTTGTTACAAAATATTTTCCCAAGGCTTGTAATGAAACATAGCTGGAAATTTAAATAAAATGTACAAAATGTTATTAGAAGTTTAAACTGTTTGCCACTTTCTATTTTGGAAATGGAAAAAGTCTTGGAGTTTCAGAGCAACATTTACATTTCTATTTGTGGCATAGTACTTACTATCAGGTTATGAACTGATTTACTTCTCAGACATAACTGACTGGACATCTGCAAAGCTAACAGTAAAAGAAAAAAAAGAAAAAAAAAAAAAAAAACAGAAGCATTGCTGACAAAACATTAAGCTATATACCTGATATAAAGTTGTGTCCTATAATTATAAAAACTGAAAAAATATTCTGGTGGCATGTACTGGTATGTCACTGCTGTGTTACTAGGAGCTCTTTAAAAGAAACTTCTTACTGAGTAGTAAGATAGGAGATTTCTTCATGATGTTTGTTCTCCATTAAATTTCACAAATTGTTAGACCCAGGTAGGAGTTTTAAATAATGTTTTACAGATATTTAAATACAATTGTGTTGCTTCACTGGATGCTTATTTTAATTATTTATTTATTTATTTTTGGTAGGTCTAATGTTACAGAGAATTAATTTTATATGAAGTTTATGCGAAGTAAGGAAATTTATTGGAACAGACAATAAGTGAGCATAAGTGCAGACATAAGTGAACCTCAGCATCAGAACCATGACTTCAAAAATATGCTTACCCAGCTCAAGAAGCTGAAAATTTCCGTAGGTGAGTCCACTGGAGATGATGTGATGTGCAGGTGGGGCCAGCTATGACCTTCTGCATAAGGTCGTCATCTTGGAGCCCAGTGCCACAACCTTCGTGCAGGCTGCTAGAGGTCGCTGTGTGGCATCATGCAGCATTTTCAAATGTTCAACAATTTTTCCAAGCTTTATGAACAGAAAACGTAAAAGAGAAACTAAACTATATATCATTAGAACTAACCATTTCTATGGACCATGTGAGCAAATCTTCAGCATTCTGTCTCTCTTGACAGTAACACAACCTCTCCCCAAGCTGATGCTCAGCAATTCTATTGTCCTTCCATCTGTGAGCATCCAGTCCCCTCTCCTTTCATGGACCTGTTCATATCTCTGGGGTCTATCTCCGCTGCCATCCTCTGCTCCCAATGTGACCTTGCAGATGAGCACCTAACTACCATGTGTGTTACTACTAATACCTAACTCCTGGGTGTATACTAGTTCTTTAAATGTCACATCATTTTAGACAATCTGTCTCTAACACTTTATTTTCTTCTATTCTGTGATTTTGGTGGTTCAATAGTTCAGAAGAAAACTCGCAGTAAATCTGAAGTTATATTATTAACTTAATGATCTAAGTAAATATTTCTTTTGAGCTAGATAAACAAACATTTTTCCCCAGGTCTCATCTGCAAAGCAGGAAAGAGTGAGTTTATAATAATGAAGCATTTCTATTTTAGTGGTATTTTTGTCACTTTTCCAAAACTCCAACCCCTAATATAAGGCACATGGCTATGGACAGCCAAAGGTATTAAAATTTTGCTTCTAAAAGATGTCATTAAACTTCAAAGCCACTCAAACAGGCAAGCTTTCTCTATTTTTCAGTTTAATCTTTTAACTCTAGAATTAAGAAGCCAAACTTACATAGATTTGGTCCCTAAACATTAGGACCCCAACAGGTGTCCAGTTCTCTTTCCAGAAAGGTGGCCTCACTTGGGCAAGTGTGTGTTGAAGCATAATTCCAAACTCATAATTCAAATATCCATGGACTAGCGCTTTGCTGTAAACTGTAGAGGCAAATGAACTTGAAAGTTTCATGTTCCTTTATGTTCCCCACCA